TATAAACCTAAAACTAAATTACCCAAGCTATGAGATCTTCAATATGCTTGACTTGGTGCGGATGAAGCTTGATCTTGAATATGACTTGAATTGCATTGCTTCACTCTGATATTCTGCCAACCTTCATTGGATATGATCGTTAAGGCGCAATCCATCTAACCTCCAACACATTGTTTGCCTAGAATAAATAAGAAAACATAAACACTAGACAAACAATATTAGTTATAAATTGTTTGTTAAAACATCATCAAAACAAAAAGGCCAACAACCCTATCTGGTCGGTTGGGCATATTTCAATTGGATTCACTCTTCACTTTACCACCTTGCTTAACACTGTGATCTCTACCGATAGGCTTTCCTCTATCCCTTTGTTCGGGGATTTGACCCTCACTCGTCTACTCTCCTTGCTTACTTGCGCTTTTGCTTCTAACTCCAGGCTTTCTCTTTGCTACCAAACTTGGGGTTAGCTACACGGAGCATCTCTTTCTTACCCTTCGGGTGGTCACAGGGAAGCACAACAACTACTATGCTGTGAACAGTAAATCGATCCCTTCTTCCGTCTGTTGCAGCCTACAGAAAAATACTATACCGTAAATAGTAAATCAAATCTCCCACTATTTTTTTAAAGTTACTGTTTATGTTACAATATTTTACTTTATCATAAACAACAAATCAAATCAAACGTATAAAAACTTAGATCCTCCTCTAAGCATAAATGAGTAGATATGATTTCTAAATCAAATGTATTAAAGTCATCCTTTAAGTATAGAAGAGTAGATATAATTTCTAATATTAAGCATACAATAATCAAATTAAATATATTAACATTTATGGTGTGTTTGGGAGTTTACTAAGGGAAGGGAAGGAAAGGTAAACAACGGGAAGGGAAGGGAAGGGAAGAAAAGAGAATTGTAATATGTTGTTTGGGAGTCGAGTAAAGTGAATGAAGGTAAAAGGAAGTAAATATATGTAAATTTACATAAATGATTTTATACTAATAAGTTTAACACATCAGCTATTTTATTTGTTTTGATGGGGGTAAGAATGTCATTACACCCATTTATCCTCCTTTAACCTCCTCTACCGCCCAAATCAGGGGGAGAGAAAACTAAGCAATTTTACCCTCCTTTCCCCTTCCTTCCTCCTCTCTATCATCCTTAAAAAAACTCTCAAACAAGGTGCAAGCTACATTTCTCTTCCCCTCCCCCTCTCTATCCTCCATCCAAACAGGACATTAGAGGAAGATAAGTCTAAAATACAACATTTAAAAAAATAGAGGATCGTACTTTGAATTGGTGCACACTACTACAAATGGAATCGAGGAATGACTTGCACAAATATTTCTTTACGGTCTCCATAATAAAAAGGTCTCTTTACTGGATCCGGATCCAAACTTTTATTTCCTATCAGATATCGGATCTCAAACTCCATTTCCACTCCGACCTGTGCCCTTTCCTCTTTCCTTCAACACGCCCCATTGATTAAATCCACACCTCTCCTCGACTTAAAACAGAAAGAAGAAAAAAAAAAAAAAGGAAAAAAATCCGAAAAGAAAACCCAAAGTCTATTGGCGCTGCCCAAAGAAAAAAGCCCCAAACAAGGGGGAGGGGGAAAAAAGAAAAAAAAAGAAAAACCTCCACTCCCTTCTTTCTTCAATCCAAGTTAAGGTAAATTTATTCATCATCGTCCCGATTTTGATCGAAAAAGCAAACAAATTCTCATCTTTTGATCTTCTTCTCTACTGATAGTCTGCTGGTTTACGATTCTAGGGTTTCTGATACGAAGCTGGGGTTTTGTGATGCTTGATTCTTGTCTTGATCCGATAATGAACATCAGATGAAGTTCTAGTTCGTTTCAAGATAATTTGACAGCGAAGTTGCCTGATGAAAGTGAGGGTTAGCCCTCGGAATTGAGTTAATGTTAGTTACTGTTTTTGATTTTTAGATTATTTAGTTGGAGGGAGATGCTTAATTCATTGCGTGGATAAACTAATTTAGACTGAATGTTGGCGCCAGAGAGGGATTTAGAGATGAATTCGAGCATGGATGAGATTAATTTATTAAGGCAGGCCCGGCATCACTTAGTTGTTAGGGGAATTGGAGAAGAAATAGATCTAGAGATTGGGCCTGGTGATGATGACCCTTCGTTTGCTAGTACTCCCCTCGTTAATGTTACGGTACAAGAAACTCCAGCCATCGAAGAGCAAGAGGACCAAAAGCATCTGCTTTTGGCTGCGCACACCCCTATTGAAGACTCACATGACCTTGGGAAGTTGCCTCAAGTGAAGAGGAAGAAGAAGGTGGTGAAGAAGTGGAGGGAAGAGTGGGCCGATACCTATAAGTGGGCTTATGTTGATATGCACGAGGGGACGTCGAGGATCTTCTGTTCAGTTTGTAGGGAATATGGGAGGAAGCATAGGAGGAACCCTTATGGGAATGAGGGGAGTAGGAATATGCAGATGAGTGCTTTGGAAGAACATAATAACAGTTTGCTTCATAAGGAGGCCCTTCGGCTCCAAATGGCATCCTCCAAAGACAAGGGCTTGCCTATGGTCGAGAGGCCCGTCTACATTAAAGGTTAGTAACTTGTTATTTACTCTAAGTTTCTTTATGATGAAATAATTGAGTAATACTTGACTTTGCATTCTATTATTTCCTACATGGTGTAGCACAGGGGTAAGAATACTTATATAAAACCATAGAAGCTCAAAGTTAAATTCATTGTATGAGTGCATTTTAATTCCTGACTACAACTGATATCACAAATAAAGTATGCTTGTAGAATCTCTTTCATATAGTTACAGCTGGTGGTTACATGTAGCACATTCTTTAGACCACTGTTGTGATGCTAGGTTTATTTTATTGATTAATTCAAAACATATATGATTTTCACTGGAGAACAGTTGTCGAGTAGCATAAAAATTTAAGAACTATTGCTCCATACAATAGCTAATTTCGGTCTTTTGACTTTCTTATTAATGCTTGTTAATGATGCATACTGAGCATTGGTTTTGCATGCTATGGTCCATCTGGAATGTTTGCCTTGATTCATCACTGATACTTAATAGCTATGCACAACCAAATTTATTAATATCAACATCTAGATTGCCAATTTCCTGATAGATATCTAACATGGCAGCCCAGTAGCGTAACTACCATTATTTATTCTGGTCTCTGTTAATGCTTCCTGCCAATTGCTTATGGTTTGTGATTGTTTACTATAATTGAATAAGTCGTCTTTTGATCAGTACTAATGTCTCATGTTTCATATGGTAGGATCACAGAGAGTTTAGATTTGTGAGTGCAAAACTGAGCTGTTTCTCAAGGCAATCGTTCATCGAGCTTATAGATCAACCTTGTTAGTTTTTTATTCTATTTTCATGCCATGAACATCCAAGGCACCTTATAACATTGCTCTGCAATATTGAACATATTAGATGAGTGCATCAAGTCACATAATAAGTAAACGTGTAGCTCTCCAAGTATTGTCAAATAGCCTCACATGAGATATACGATAATGGGAACTAGGTATAAAACAATCCCTATGAACTTGAGAGTTAGCTAGCATTTTTGATTGAGGAATCAAGGGAAGTCTCTATGTTTAAAGCATGTTCAGTGGCCATGGATTCATATAATAATTGTATCAATCATTTTCTGAGTGAGGAATCATGGAAAAATAATTCATAGTTTAGTATGCTGAGAATGGAACAATTTCAGGATAAGTGATCTCTTGGAAATTTGACATTATAAACATCCTCTGTATCAATGACAATCCCTTTAGGTAATTAATTTCATCTGATTTGCGTTTTCATGGGATTGCGAATATGTTGTGACATTTGACTATCAGAGATTTGAGTGATTATCTACTCCAATGATGTTGTTGTCACACCAGAGTAGAACTTTATTTTGCTTATTTTAGTAGTACATAGCATAATTGAATCTTCATAATCACAATGTTCTTTTTCGTTTTGGTCCTTTTTATATCCACCTCATATAAGGCCTAAGTTTTTCATCAGGTACATCTGATCTACGCCTACAGAATCTCAATGCATGTACTATTCATAAAACTTGTTAAGAAAACTTGTGATTGATGTTCTCTAATTATATACTTGTAGCTTGCGCAAGTTTGACCATTTATTTGATAAGGTAGCAACATGAATCTTTCTGGTACTCCTCACATGTTTTCTTAAACATAATTTAAGAACATATGGCCTTTCTATTTATTTTTAATATTCTGGTTGCCTTTGATATACTATCCATTGTTGAAATCTACTTTAATTTTACTACAAATATGCAGTAGTTCGAGACTTCCATTTGCCTGAAGGTATCAATGCTTGTCTGTACCTAGTACCTGTGTCATTTTACATTTGTTAATCTTACTCTAACTGATCTATTCCGCTATTAAACCTGATGTTGTTCTGTTTGACTTTGAATGTAGTAAGATTATTGGAGATCAAAGAGTAACAATGTTCTACTAATATGGAACATTTTCATCATTGCTTACTAAATTTCAGTTTATTGTTTTTAACTGTGGCATGCGGCGACATAGCTTTAATGTCAAAAACGGCTGGTTCCATTGTTGAATCTGTGTTAAGAAGAGATCCTCATGAAGTCGAGTATATACAGGCAGTGCAAGAATTTGTTCATTCTTTAGAACCAGTTTTGGTGAAAAACTCTCAGTAAGTTATTTTGAAACACTTGAGCTATCTAACATGGGAAGGTAGTTATCTTTTTTATTTTATCTGGTGACGCAAACCTGAAAACATCAGTTTTCTTGCAATTGTATTTCCAGGTATGCTCACATTTTGGAACGCTTACTAGAACCAGAACGCATGATTGTTTTTAGAGTACCCTGGCTTGACGACAGGGGAGAGACACATGTGAGTCGAGGCTTCCGTGTCCAGTTTAGCCAGGTGTTGGGGCCATGTAGGGGTGGTCTTCGATTTCATCCATCCATGAACTTAAGTGTTGCCAAATTTCTAGCTTTGGAGCAGGTAGTTTTTATATTTGCAATGTGAAAGGATTTCACTGCAGTCTGCATGACTACTTATTTTGTCTGAGTTCGTGCTACTTTGACATATATGTCATTGATAAACAATTTTACAAGACGAAACTGTTTAGCGAAGTAATTATTTTTCTCTAGGCTTTTTACTGAAGTACTGAAACCATGTCATTTTTGTTATTTTAGAATTAAGACTATTGTGATTTACAATGTGTGTGCAACACAGTTAGTAATAAGAATGCTATTGAAAATGATCAATATAAGTTGTTGAAACACTGAACATGTGAAATAGTGAAAGTTTGTTTTGAATTAAAGAAAAAACATATACATGTGAATTTCGCCAGCACTTAGTTTAAGTGACTTTATTGGAATTTATGATTGTGTTTTACATATAATATCTCCCTGGCAATCAAGAGGCACAAATGCCTATTTCAAGAAAACAATCCTTACAATTATGTAGTACAACTAAGTAAAAACAAGTATTGCTAAGATGTTGTAGTATTCTATTGATACAATCATCAGTGTTTAATTAGGTTTGCCCAATTCATCGTACTTTATCTGCTATGTTGGTCCATAGCTGAAACTTCAAGTTTATATTATCTTACCTGATCTGGTGCCTCTATCTGATAGTTTAGTCCATGGCTGAAACATCAAGTTTATATTATCTTACCTGTAAGGTGCCTCTATCTGATACTTTAGTCCATGGCTGAAACATCAAGTTTATATTATCTTACCTGTCTGGTGCCTCTATCTGATACTTTAGTCCATAGCTGAAACATTAAGTTTAAAAAGTAAATTAAATTGCTATACTATGTTCAAGTATGGAACCATAATGGAAACCAGGATACACATAAAAAAAAAAGAATAATAGGTATGCTGGTGGGCAGTGGCGGATCCAGGAATATTTTGGATGATAATCTGAGATCATTGGTCGAAGTCCAGGATCTGCCGGAAGATCTTTCAAGTGCACTACTTTGCTTTGCTTTGCACTAGTTTATAAATTCTCAAGATTGTTTAAAGTTGGAGTAGTTGATGGCTGCTCCATTCATGACTTTCTCTTGCGATATTTATCCATAACTAGAAAAAAATTAAGCAAGTTCACCTATAATTTTTTACTTATTTTAATTACTAAAACTCATGAATTACAAAATTTCCTTTCTACGATGTCTAATTCTATATAGTATGACCCAAATTCTCAAAAGGACAATACATTAATCATAGAATCCCTTTACACTTGGTGTTGTACTTTTACTTGTGCTCATTAATTACAACAAAGAATATGGGTTTGGATTTTAGTATTACTTTTGGGTTTCTATTATTATATTTTTAGTTGGGCTCCCATAACTTTATTGTTGGAAATTTATATGGGTTTGAACTTCCAATGGACTAATTCAAATTTTGTTACTCATTTCTTCAGTGCTCTAGTAAGTTGGGCCAGGTGTGCAATCCTCAAAATACATTTTTTTTTGTTTTTTGTTTTGTTTTTTTTTTTTTTTTTTTTTTTGGGGGGGGGGGTTGCAGATTGTAAACCCAACGAGGGTTCATATGCTAATTTGGAAATTTTAGGGGTGCACCTGCACCCCTAGCCTTGTCTATAAATCTGCCCCTGCTGGCGGGTTCATGTCGATGTAACTGGAGATAACAACATGCATAAGGTGTAACCTTCTTTGTACTTCCTAGGATAAAGCTGAATCTTATTGGAGTTTTTAGGTTGTATAAGCTTATAAGTGTGTGTCCAGGGCAGTAGGTGTTATAACTTATGAGCTGGTCTTTAAGGTTTTACAGTATGATTCTACATTGCTCGTAACACTCTCGGTGAGGTAAGTAGATCCTGTTCACAATCTCCAGGGCAGTAGGTGTTCTAACTTATGAGCTGGTCTTTAAGGTTTTACAGTATGATTCTACATTGCTCGTAACACCCTCGGTGAGGTAAGTAGATCCTGTTCACAATCTTCATTTGACAAAGATTTAAGTCATGGATGAAGGGGTTTAAGTGTTTAACCCCTCTTTAACTGGCAAAAGGGGCTGGGGCATGGGTTTCGGGGGTTAACCAGGTTTTAACTTCCAAATACTAGTGGGGTTTAACCAGATTTTAACTTCCAAACACTAAAAACCAACAGGCATTTAGATAAACCATAAAAGAAGGATTAAGAGGGGTTACTGTTTCAAACCTGGGTGCTCATTGTTCTGTCTCCCTTAATTGGTGAAAATGACACTTCTATTTGTGCGAGAGTTTGTAGAAACAATTCCCAATCATGGTCCTTGCGGATCGGACCATCCGTATAGGATAAAAAAAGAAGCCCCAGATATTTGCTATCTTTCTCTTTGAATGAGATCTCAATTCCTGCTACGGTTTCATTAGCTATCTTACAACTAAAATCCCTCCTTTTTCTGATCCGGTTCCTCCACCACCGCGAACCCCGGTTCGATTCAGGCATGATACGTTTTTTATTTATTGGGAGAACCCAAGTACTCTCTTGTGGATCCATGAAACAACTCTCAGAAATCGTTTTCCCTTTTGGAAACCTTATTCCATGCATATGCACAGAGATTTTTAAGCTTTTTGGTCTTATTAACTTAAACATTGCTATTATTTTGTAACTTTTTAAAGGTATTTGCAAGATTTGTTCTTCTTCTTTAACCATTGCTATTATTTTAACTAATTTAATTCTTGTTGAAATGTCTATGACTATAATTATGGGCAAAGTGGTTTACTTTTTCATGTGAGATATCACCATTACCCTGCACATTACTTTCCTGTAGTCTCTAAAAGAATGCTCTATCACCATATAACCATTGCTGTTATTTTAACTAATTTAATTATAGTGGTAAATGTCAATCATTATGAGCAAGGTGGCCTATGATTTCATGAGAGACATCACCTTTCCTCTGCACATAACTTTCTTGTAGACACTAAAGAATGCTCTATCACCATATAAACTGGGAGGTGCTGCAGGAGGAAGTGATTTCGAT